AAACGAAAAAAAATATCGCAATATCAAGTACGAGGATGGCGGCAAAACGGAAACTGACCATCGTGTATACCTCGTGTGTGTTTCAAGTCAAAGAGGGAAAACGATTATTGAACGAGGGCTTATTATTTCTGTTTCTTTCTATCTTACCTATTTTTACCCACATTTAAATGTACGATCTGGACTATTTTTTTTTGTTTTATTCATGACTAAGCATATTTTTATTTTTGTCCACAGATTCTGATGGGAGTACAACATATTTATATTTCCACGTATTTCCGAATAACATTACGTAAACATCGAATATTTAAAACAATAATTTATTATTTACAGACATTTTAAGTTTATAGAAAAGCGGTGGGCATAGATAATAGGAGAAGGATACAGACGAAATTCATAGAATACCCAGCCGTTTTTCTCGGTAAAACTTAAAAACCAGACATTAAACGGTTAAAACACAAATAAAAATAGTTCGATGCACGACATTATTTCCGTGCGTCGAAATTTGTTTAACGGATATTTTTATTTTAGGTAGATTTTTATAAAAATGCGAAATATTTATAACATTTTTATTACAACTCTACGAGTGGTGCAAGCACATTTCTGATCGTTCTGATCCCCGTGCGTCATTCGATATTTCACATTCTTATCGTAAAATATATATATAACTCTAGTGTCTTAAATATTTTCTTATCAAATATTTAAATGCGCAAATAATTCTTGATAGTAAAAATTTGAAAAACCCATGATAAATCTCGTGTTGAATTTTCGAGCATTTTTGCAGCTCCAAAAAATGATTATTATTTCATTCACGTGAAACCCAAATAAAAAAAAATAAAATATGAACATCTCAAATACCTATAAATAGCAGAAAAACGCCTATATATATTGAAAGAAAATTAAAATTAAATTGTCCAGTTTTTAGTAGCTTCACCTATTAAGAAAATTACAAATAAAAAAAAATGTCCTCTCCAACGCCGCAAACTAAACGGCGTGTCTAAAACTAAAGTGGCTTTCGACAAAGACACTTTACGTTTGAAAATCCGATCCAATGATGCACAACAAAATGACGGATATACTTCGCACCACGGGTGGGCCATTGTTATAGGCGCGAGAAGTTGGAAAGATAAGATATACAGAGAAAAACTTATAATTTATATCTGTACGATAAACCGTCGCTAACGATTCGGAGCGAAGTTTCTTTTCTAGAAACATTTTCCCTACGTTTCCCCTCCCCCCTCCGATTATTATATGAAAACCGCTTGAAAAATCAAAAAAAAAAAAAAAAAAAAAGTGCCTACATAAAATACCGCCCGGATAAAATTTCCTTTTAGAAAAGATACTACACTTGAAAACCCGGGCAAGGTTTCTTGTAGAAAAGTTGTTGAAACGTCATTGTAAAACCAATATACATTCCTGGCTACGGTCCGAATCTAAAACGCATCACGTATAGTTAAACCCATATACCCATTACTCGATGAGTTCAGAATATATACGTATAAAGTAAAATGGAAAAAAAAAAATCGTATCGTAGTGTATAGTACATAATCAGTATATATGTGTATGTGTATACATATACAGCTCGTAAGTTTTGTACGCATTATCATAAGACGCATTCCGTTTTAATGACGAAAACCGTACGATTATAGAAACACATGTATAATTGTTGAAACCCATAAGCATTAAAACGCGTACACGGGTTTAAAGAATGTCGATAGGAAAAATTGCATTATCACATTTTGTATACATGTATACCCATTTTGTGTCAACATTATCAATCCGTCTTTGTGCGTCCACGAGTTCACTTAGGTAAAAATCGGTTGTTTTTTTCTAGAGTTTTCGGTCACGAATTTCGTGTGTCAATTCGGCGGGTATGCGTCGTCATCCGCGCAGCCGCGCTTTTTATGCACTTAGTGATCGAGATTATTATTATTATATTTTTTTTTTTTTTTTTTTTTTACGTACAGCGACACGGATAAAATATAGAAAAGCGTAATTTTATTTAGTTTAACTATCATTATTATTTTTAATATTATCATCCACTGTCTCTTAATGTATTTCTCGCGATTCGAGTTTTTCAAAAAAAAAAATATAATAATAATAATAAGTAATACAAATAAATAATTTATTTCATTTTCACTATACATTATTCCAAATTCGCGGATATAGAGTTTTATAAAAATCGTGAAAACTTGTATAGTTTTATACGCGGATAATTTTGCAGAAAAATACAAAAGGAGACTAAAATTAATATTTTATTAGGAATCGAATGAAAAGAACGACCAATCGTTATATATATATATATATAAGTAGTAATATGTTGAAAATATTGTATAAAACTTATGCGTATTTTACACCTTAAAATATCTATTGAAAATGATAGAAATTACGTTGATGTAGAATATTCTCAATGCATAAAAAATACGAAAATACTGTAGAAACGGGGAAAAAAAAAAGTTATAAATATTACATCAGTGTATACTATATAATATGGTTTGTATTGAATAAACTCAATAAAATTTTCGTTTTACGTACATTCATATACATTATATATATATATATACTGTTCTATTTATATTATGTATTTTTATCAGAAATAAAATGAATACGAGCCTTAAAAAAAAAACCATCACTTATATCCCATTTCTGTTTGAATGGCACCTAAAAATGCAAATAAAATTCTCCCGTCATTGCATTTAAAAGTCTAATGAAAAAATGACAAAAATCTACAATTTTGAAAACATTCATAGTAGAAATAATTGTTAAAAACAAAATATCACAAAAAGTCTTAATACAAATATCCCATAAAAAGTTCTGAAGATCGAAAATTTCAACAAAAATAGCAAAAATTTAAGTTCACTGTTACATATAAATAGACATTTTGAAAATCGACTACACGCACTTTACGCGAAAAGACATTTTTTTTACTTTTATTTTTCCCAGATTTGGCATTAATCTCGTCCGCAATTTTCGACTAGGGTATACACACAATTACGGTTTTTCGGCAACAAAATAGTAATTCTCATTTCACCGAACAAACAACAAATCGACATTATATTGTTCGAATCGGATTTGTATCGGATAAATAAGAGAAATCTGCAGGAGAAGACTTAAGAACACGAAATGATTAGTCATCAACGGGACGTAATGAGTTTTTACCGTATGTTTTACAAACTAGCTATAGGTGAAAAACTATCGATTGAACCGTATTATTCGTCGAGAGATTTCTCTATGAAGATTTCCTTTCCACCGATTTCTTCGATTATTTTTAATTTGAGCGGAATTTTTTTTTTTTAATTTGATTGTGTTTATAATAAACAATATTATAAAATACCGGCAGAAATGTATTGCTCGTAGGTATACATTTTAATTTAAATCAACGTGTTATAATTTATTTCAGAGTATACAGTGACGTATATTTATATTATATACAGTATAATAATTTCAAATAAAGTATACATTTGTTTGGTGTATACGTACACTGTACAGTGACATTTAAACTTTTCAGGATGGTGGGGAATTCATAGTTAATAAATGTAGGTACATGGAAATTCTTTTGGAGGGGGTTCAATGTTAAATCTGTAGGTAAATTCCAATCGTCTAATCGCCTAACTATAATCTATTAATAATACAAATTACAGTCTTTATTGATAAATTATCTTTCCTTTATCACACTCCAATATTCAATCGCGGTCAGTAACCTGATAGCACAACGATATGACTAACTATATACTTCTTGTAATTTTTACTTAACAACGTTGCAGGAACATATATCCGATTTGATTTTTTTTTTTTTTTTTTTTTGTGGCTCTTAAAGAACGTGCCCAGTACCCCCGGACTCTTAGGTAAACGCGCCACTACATATTGTGTATTATGATATTCACGTAAAATATTATAATTAACGAACAGGGATTTTCGTTTTGTACTCAGTTCATTTTTTTTTCTCAACATTTAAACCCTATTTAATATATTAATGTAAAACGGGGGATTTATACGGCCTATTGAATAATTTTGTGTCGAATAAAAATATAGTAGGGGAAAAACGGTATTCGTATTAAAAGGCCCAATATGAACCCCGGTTGAAAAATGCGAATTTAATTCGTCCCTATACACAAATGAACTAAACCTATTACAATAAGCGGTAATTGAAACATTATGCGAAATTTCTACAGAAATAAAAAAAAAAAGAGAGAGAGAGAGAGAGAGAATAGACTATATAGCGGGTATAAATTCTATATATAATATAATGTTGCAGCCAATACAATTGTATAGTATTATACCACTATTCGAGTATATAGAGATTTCCGGTTTATTCGTTTTTCATTCTTCGCCGACAGCCGAAAAGCCAACCCGTCCGGGGCCTATTTTCGCGATGAGGCGGAATGAAAACAAACTTTTATCGACTAACGGGTGTTTTTCTTCAGTATCGCGAAAGTATATTACATACTATATAGCGTTGTTGTCGTCCGTTCAGTTAGAACACACTTCGATGAACGCACAACCTTTCGAGCTTGTGTCCTCGCAAAATTCCCCTGTGTCAATTATTATCGTTACAGAGTTTTCGCGGATTTTAACACCGGTAATCGATTTCTACGACGGTTAAAATCGCATATAAAATATCGACATCAATACGCGGCGGTGCGGTTTTCGATGTTGAAAACGAACAATGGCGTAGAAGATGAGATAACAAGTAAATTACCGTCGTGTACCTAAACAACAAATTGTATATTAAAGGGTGGGCGGTTACTGCAGCGGTTCGTGCGTGCAATGTGCGAGGAAAAGGAAAACGGAATCGGAGCGGCTGTATTGTATTATAGAATAGACACAGACGGTTAAAAAGCCGAGATGGACAACCAGCAGAAAGCGTTGGTTGGACAGAATTAAAGAAGACCCGGAGACAATGGAAAATATGGCTTGGGAAAAATGTATTAGAGATAGACTAGTGATAGATTAAAAAGAAATTGTGTTATAACGGCTAAGACTTTTGAAAAATGTCAAGCTAGATAATATAGAAAGAGAGAAATATATTGCACGTGTTATTTCAATAGAAGTACCTACCGACTTACGTAAATTGTGAATGAAAATTATCATAAAAGATTATTGGAAGAGTTTATTTTGTGAGAGGCTTCTTGAAAAATATGAATAAATTATATCATAATCGTATATAATACGGGTTAAAAGAGCCAATAATTTTCTAAATATCGAGTTTAGCCCACCTTAATGGATCATACTGTATCACACTGTTTTCCCTGTGTGTGGAAAATATTCCTTTTGTTAATAAACTTGAAAACTAATTAAGTAATATCCTTTTATCGAAACCTACACAGAGTGGTTTCAACACATTTTAGGTAGGTGTATACCGGAGGTTAGGCGTTAGGCGATATAAATCCGGAAGTGACTCAGGGGCATTGTGTGCTTGCGAATTAAGAGGAATTTACGGTATTCCGGGTTCTTTTTTTATGCGATTAGCCCGCTTTATTATTTAACTTTTTAAATTTTACTGTTTTTTCTCCTCGAAAAGCTCGAAAAAGCCTACTAATTTATTCGTAATCGCGATCGCACAATTAAGTGGATTTCCTTTTTTTTCGCCAACACATTGGATTTAGGAAAAAAAAATGTATACAATATATTTTATTATATATGTGTATATATTTTTTTTTAGTATCATCATGAGTTTATAATATTATACTAACTTAATATTAATAGTTCCCATGGGCTAGATAAAACGTTAAAATCAAAATCAAATTTAAAGTCTGACGACGACGGTTACTGTCGCTGATAAGTGATGATGGGATCCGATAAAAAGGCACGGTTTTTGCTATATCGTTTTTAATCGCGGACCAAACCCGTTATTCGTTTTATAATACGTCTCGAGTCATAATACGTATATGATATTATCGGCAGTCGTTTCACCGTCGGAAAATCGAGTGACCGAAATCGTATAAAAAAACAACAGAATAGCCGATGATTCTATATACGAGCAAATCTGAAGATGTACAGCCGTCGACGCCCGTTACTGTGTATTGTTCAGAAAAATCACGCATAATACAGAAGACGGTTGTAAAAGAGAACGGACACGGTTTTGTATATTCGTCGGCCGTCTCCGGTCCTCGGGCGGACAGCGGTCGAAACATATTTCCACCGCGATGGCATCGTGACTTACACCCAATGGCACGCAAAGACCGATTGGCCACAGACGCGATTGACAACAACATTGCGTCCGTTTCTACGACGGATTTGTTCACTCCTGTACAACGATAATTGATACGGGTGCTGTACCCCCCTCCCACTCCCCGCTCCCCGAACGATTGCCGTTCCCTTTGCAAGCTGCAACGCGCGGCGCCTTTACAGTATGCCTACAGACCGTTTCTTTAGCACCGCGTCGTACACGAGACGCGTCGCGATGCGCACAATAAATATGATTGGCACATAAATTATTGGCCGGGGAAAAGAGTTGGACTCCGGCCGCGATGTGATATTATTATTATTATGACAATAGTCCTGACCTTTTGTAGGTCAACTTGTCAAAAATGCGAACATTCGATTTGACGTATTCTTTTTTTTAAAAAAAAAATAAGCGACCGCCCGCGATTTATGTTTGCGTTAAGAATATATTATCATATCTGTAATATTATATTTAGGTACGCACTAACGACGAACGTTCGATTATAACGAGTCTTCGTCGTCGGCGTATTGTTTTTTTATTATTATTTCGTTCGTTTTTCGTTTTAAACATTCGCTGCGCGTAAAAAAAAAAATTGTTTTTAATAAAATATGAATGATGTATTTATTTTTTTTTTCGTCGATTCCTATTTTCGTACCGTCGTCGTATATTTACAGAGGAACCCTCGCCGCGCGCTATTGGCGGTTCGTATTATTTTCGGAATCTTATATTTTATTCATCGCTGCCGGTCTCTTTCAGTTTTTTTCCCTTTCCCCCCGATAGGTACCTATCTACTATACCTAATATACGTACCCCGGCGGTATATAAAAATCTGGTTTTGGAAAATTCGATTGCAAACAAAAATAATATGTTTATAGTTCGAAATATTATCCCGCTAGTGTATATTTGCACCAAAAAAAATAAATTGGTAATATAGTGAATAGGTTATATAAAGGAAAAAAAAACAAAGTTCGAGATAATTTATTCGAATTCGTTATGCGTGTGAACATACGGAGGCTGTTAAAACTAAACGATTTTAGATATCGATTTATAGTGAAAACTTTCGTGTGCACGTTACGTGTTTGATTAAAACAAATTTTGTGGTTTGAAGATAAAAAAAATTATAATTGCTTGTATAAATTAATATGGATAAGATATTCCTACGTTAGCCTTTGTACCGAATACCGATCAAGTCACTAAGGTACTATCCAACTATACTGTCGCAGCTACTAGAAAATTCTTAAAAATATGCCTGAACATTTGTACGAAACACTGTGACCTGACCAAGAAAATATCGAAAAATTCGTTAGAATTCTTAAAATAACTCAACTATATAATACTTTATCTATAACCTTTTTTTTTTCTTTTTTTTTTGCAAACATTTCTATGTTTTTCCGGCAAAATGTTCACACTGTTGTGTCACGACGAAAACAAATATAATTTTGTTAAACATATTTTAACCTTTTTAAGCCGTTTTTAACCTTTGCAGTCGATGCTTAGAAGAAAATCGCGCGCGCAGCAGCTCGATAGGTTGTACTTTATTTTGATTCCATACGTGGGTAGTGAAAGTGCTGAGGAAATAATTTGTAATTAATACGTACAGCGTTATTATAATGTTATAGATACGATTACTGCGCTGACCCGTCTTCGTAGAAATGCTCACGACAAATATTAATTCTAAAAAAGCCTATAGGTAACCTACCTAAGTATTAAGTACCTATAGGTTTCGTCGAAACGTGAAGCTGCGGGGACCACAATCGTCATAATCCATAAAATAATAATACAAAATCGTTAGTTCAACGTCGGTTACCAGAGAGTGAATATACGCGTCCGTGCAGTCAGTCTATCGCCACCACAGAAAACCATTAAGTTTGTTGATTATTTTATAACCGTCTACTATTAGGTACATACTTTATTGATATTTTGTTTTTAAAAAAAATTGTATTTTTAAGTACAATATTTATAAATATGTCAGAAGTGTGGTTTTTCAATAATATTTAAATAAAATACCAGTACCAAGGAACTAAATCAATTTAATTACATAACGGGTATGTTGTACTGTAGCGGGAGGAGGGGGGAGGGGCTGATGGCGATTTGTTTTTACCAACCGTTTATGGAAAATAAGCCACTTGTGTTGCGTATATTATTGAAATTCGGCTAAATTTAAACAATTATTTTGTTATTGTTACTCGCCACCACACGCATAACTCTATCAAGTCATTTAACGTTTCATAATATGCAATTGATATTTTGTTACGTGTATAATGAATATTGATTATCATGTGATACCAATATACTATTATTTTATCGTGTTATATTAACGTAAACGAAATACGTAACTAAAATACCTATAACATTATTATTTAAAATAGACACAATGTAGGTACATATTTAATTATATTATACCGTATTATTAATTTTGGCTAAAGTCGATTGTGGGTACATGCAATGCGTTTGCCATACAACTTATTAATATTCGTTATATGCACGTATAATAAACCATATTGTCCGGTAATATGCCCGAAGTAACTTTTTACCGTTGTCATTATAAACTAGGTAAGTTACTGAAAAATGCATAGAATACGTCATATTTAATTATACATCATATTGTGTTTTTTTTTTTTTGATAAATTCTACGTAATGCATTTGCAATTTAGTGAAATGTATCGATTCAGTTTTTGTATTATTTATTTTACTGAATTGATAATTAGGCGTGTGAATTATTTTAAAATTAATCGCAACAAATTTGTTTGGATAGATGGCTATAAATATCGCCCAAATCGAATAGTACGTTTAAGGTAGATTTCCTCCACTATTTCGGTTCATCCGCTTACACGAATTATTGTTAAAGTTTTAGTATTTCTAGGTAAAACTAAACACCTAAATAAAATGATTAATTAAAAATAGAGCTGTCTGATATGCAGCTTTAAATTATAAGTGATCTGAAAACCAGCTGCTTTAGGGCTTTAGGCGTATCTGTTGTTTTTATATTTTCACTTTGGTAATCTGTGATAATGCGTACCGAAACGGTATAAAAAAATATTTATAATATAATTTACAGAAAAATATGGCTAAATACAAAAAAAGTCAGGGAGAGGGGGGAAAGGCTTAAAACATAAACAAAATCGGCCATTTCTGATTTGGCCATCATTACCTAGGCTCTTACTTACACCCGTATATGGTTATATGCACGCACTTCAGAGTTCCGCGTTCTAATATTTCCGCACTCGGAAAGTCGACGACGAAGCTGTATACACACATATATACATATATATATATAATAGGCGATGATTAAAAACACCATTAACGGATTGTGATATAATTGCACAGCATCGCTAAAACTCGGAAACTCCGTTTTTGGCTCCCGAGTCCGTTGGATTGTTCCCAAAAGTCCGCGGGAAGTTTCCCCGGTACCTACTTATATTGTACCTCTGTCCCCTATATATTATAATACTCGCAGCGAGTATAGGTGTATTATTATTTCCCGACCGCCGAAATGACGATCAAATAATAATATTATTATCACACGCGATAATTTGTATACACGCAAATTATATTATTATAATTATTATACATCCGTTTAATCGTCACGACGATGACAAAAGCCTAAGTGCGCGTGCACATTTTGCTGACAGTTTGAAATGTAAATGAGACGAGCGTCGGGCTCTTCTCCTGTGCGTATTGCGCGGCCACTATAATTTATTATTCAATTCTCAAATATTGGTGTTGCGAAATTTTGCATTTTCTCTCGTTAGACATTCGCTACAGCAGCAGCAGATACAGACCCGAGAGAATAAAAACGTACGCACGTTAGCTTTTTAATTACAATATGTGTTGAAAGAAAGACAGAAAGAGAGAGAGAATTCAACGTGTTGCAATCATAATATTATTATTAATATAATGGGTTCGTTTAAATCCCGCGGCGAAACGTTTCTGGGCAGCAAAAATAACACGTTCGCTGTTTCATAGATTTTGGTCTTTGTATAATGATAAGGCTCTCCGGCCCCGAAATTTCAACACTACGGTTGAATGTAAATGAAATTGCTGGCAAACCATGTATCTTGATGCTCTTGAAAAACAGCAAGTTAGAAAACCTAACCTACATATCCTGTCGGTTTAAACGTGGTACCATCACTCCAAGAAAGTTACAGTGTCCTAAGCAGCGACGCGGTCAGGAGGAGTTTTTGGTATTGTAACCTCTCCCCCCCCCTTCCTTTTTTCTGGTTATTTATAATATTAAGAAGGTTCGTCGCTACACCGACGGTCCCAAGTGTCGGTCTAAAACCTATTCGACAAAAACACCGCAACGGGTTTAGAGAATCGCAGGCGGATGGGAGGTGGGCAATGGAAAATCCACGTCGGATACGCCACTGCAGGGATCGGAGATAGTAAAGACAGTATATACAGAAGTACCGAGGAATATTTAGCTAGTGGTACAAATATCG